GAGTTTTAAAATGATAACAGAAAGGATCGTGGAATAAAATATTCCTCGACGCTCAGCAACTGCGTATATATCTATACAGCCACAATATTCAGTTACATATACGGTTTGTTGAGTGTGTTGTTGCAAAGCACTAAATAGTGTTGAGAAACGTTTCAGGAGTGTGGAACAATGAAAATGTAAAGCGGTACGCTTTGTTGAGTGTTGAACAATGAAATGTTGAGGTAATGTTTTGTTGAGTGTGGAACAATGAAAATGTTGAGGTACGTTTGCGGAGTGTGGAAACAATGAAAATGTTGGAAGTATACGTTTTGATGAGGTGGAACAATGAAAATGCTTGAGGTAATGTTTTGCAGATGAGTGTGGAATAAATGAAAAATGTTGAGGTACGTTTGTTGAGGTGGAAATGAATGAAAATTGTTGAGGCATCGTTTTATGAGTGGAACAAACGTGAAAAACAATATATCGTCTTTATTGAGTGTGGAACAAATCGAAAATGTTATATGCATCGTTGACAGAGGTGGAACAAATGAAATGTTGAGGCATCGCTTGGCGGAGGTTGAACAACGAAAATGTTGAGGCATCACCTTTATGATGTGGAACAATGAAAATGTTTGAGGTACTGCCTTTGCGGAGTGTGGAAACTAAATCGAAAACGTTGAGGCAACGTCAATTGATGGTGGAACAGAACGAAACGTTTGAGGCATCGTTGGCGGAGTGTGGAATCAATCGAAAACGTTGAGGCACGTCTTTGTTTGAGGGTGTGGAACAACGAAAACAAGCTTGAGGGTACTGCCTGGTGAGTGTGGACCAACGAAAAACGTTGAGGTATCAGTTTGTTGAGTGGAACAATGAAAACGTTTCGAAGTATCGTTCTGTTGAGGTGAAATCAACGAAAAACCGTTGAGGCATTTCCTTGCGAGTGGCTGAACAACTGAAAATGTTGAGGCATCGTCTGATGAGCGGACAAACGTGAAAAACGTTGAGGTACTGTTTTGACGAGTGTGAATGGAAATGAAAATGTTGAGGTGCGTTCTATTGATGCGTGGAAATCAACGAAAACTGTTGAGGCATCGCCTGCGGAGGTGGAAATCAACGAAAACGTTGAGGCAATTGCCTCTTGTCGAGTGTGGAACAATGAAAACCGTTGAGGTAACGTTCTGGTGAGTGGAACAACGAAAATGTTGAGGTGATTGAGTGCGGAACAACGAAAACGGTTGAGGTATCACTTTATTGAGCGTTGAACGAAAACGTTGAGGCAAATTATGTGGAACAACGAAAATGCTTGAGGTATCGTTTTAAGGAGTGGAAATCAATGAAAATGTTGAGGGCATCGCCTGGATGTGAGCGGCGGAATCAAAGGAAATGTTGAGGCACTTTGTGATGTGAAAACAATGAAAATGTTTGATACTTGCCTTGTTGAGTGCGGAACAATGAAAAACGTTGATACCTGCCTTTGACGATGCGGAACGAATGAAAAACGTTGAGGCACGCCTTGACGAGTGTGACAATGAAAACGTTTGAGGTGCTGCCTTTGGTGAGTGTGAACAAACGAAAATGTTGATGGGCATCACTTTATTTGAGCATGGAACAATGAAAAATGTTGAGGTAATTGCCTTTGTTGAGGTGAAACAACGAAATGTTGAGGTACTTTATGAGGAGTGTGGAATCAACGAAAACAAGTTGAAGGTAATGTTTGATGAGTGTGGAACAATGAAAATGTTGAGGTATCGTCTTGATGAGTGGACAATGAAAAACGTTTGAGGTACTGCTTTGATGAGTGTGGAACAATCGAAAATGTTGAGGTATCGTTTGCGGAGGTACTGCCTTAAGGGAGTGTGGAAATCAATGAAAACGTTGAGGTACGTTTTGTTTGATGCGGGATAAATGAAAATGTTGAGGTACGTTTTGCGGAGGTGGAACAAATGAAAAAAAGCCATGTTATCGCCTTTGTTGAGTGTGGAACAATGAAAAATGTTGAGGCAATCGTTTTGGGAGGTTGAACAATGAAAATGTTTGAGGTACGTTTTGTTTGAGTGTGGAAATCAATGAAAATGTTGAGGTACCGCCTTTATGGAGTGTGGAACAATCGAAAATGTTGATATATCGCTCTTTTGTTGAGTGGAACAACGAAAACGTTGAGGTACTGCCTTTGTCGATGTGGAAATCAACGAAAACGTTGAGGTAACGTTTTGTGAGTGTGGAACAAAAAATGTTGAGGTAATGTCTTGATTGAGTGGACAACGAAAACGTTTGAGGTAATTGCCTGATGAGTGTGGGACAAATGAAAATGTTGAGGTTTTGTTGAGTGTGGAACAATGAAAATGTTTGAGGTACGCCTGCGGAGGTGGAACAATGAAAATGTTGAGGTATCGCCTTGTTTATGGAACGAATGAAAAATGTTGAAAGTCGTCGGTGAGTGTGGAATGGAATGAAAACAAGTTGAGGCATCATTGAGGTGGAACAAATGAAAATGTTGAGGTCAAGTTTCCAGGAGGTTGGAAACAATGAAAATGTTGAGGTACTGTCGGTTGAGTGTGGAATTGAAATGTTGAGGTAAAGTTTGGTGAGTGGAATGGAATGAAATGTTGAGGTAATGTTTGTTGAGTGGAATGAATGAAATGTTGAGGTATCAAGTTTTGTTGAGGTGGAATGAATGGAAATGAAAAAGAGGGTGGAATGGATGGAATGGAATGAAATGGATGGATAAATGGAAATGGAAAGAGTGGAACGAAAATGTTGAGGCAACACTTGGTGAGTGTGGAACAATGAAAATGTTGATGCGTACTGTCGGTCAATGAACAACGAAAATGTTGATAAGTATCGCCTTTATATGCGGAACAAACGAAAATGTCAGGCTAACGTTTGATGAGTGTGGAACAATGAAAATGTTTGAGGCACGGCTTGATGAGTGTGGGACAAACGAAAAACGTTTTGAGGTATCACTTATTGATGCGGAACAATGAAAATGCTTGAGGCATCGCCTTTAGAGGTAATGTCTTGGTGAGTGCGGAAATCAATGAAAATGTTGAGGTACTGTTTTGTTGAGGTGGAACAAATGAAAATGTTGAGTCAATGTGGCTCTTTGGTGAGTGTGGAACAACGAAAACGTTGATAATTGCCTTGGTGATGCGGGAAATCAAATGAAAACGTTGAGGTATCGCTCATGAGTGTGGAACAACGAAAATGTTGATAAGTAACGTCTTTATTGATGTGGAAATCAATGAAAATGTTGAGGTACGTTTTGTTGAGGTGGAACAACGAAAACGTTTCGAGGCACGTTTGGCGGAGTGGTGGAACGATGAAAACGTCGAGTAACGTTTTGTGGAGTGGAACAATGAAAAACAAGTTGAGGTAATGTTTGACGAGTGGCTGAACAACGAAAACGTTGAGTATCGCTCTTTGCGGAGTGTGGAACAAATCGAAAAATGTTGAGGTACGTTTTGTTGAGTGTGGAACAAATGAAAATGTTGAGGTACTGCTCTGGTGGAGTGTGGAACAACGAATGTTGAGGCATCGTTTTGGTGAGTGTGGAACAATTGAAAATGTTGAGGTACATTGCCTTGTTGAGTGTGGAACAATGAAAACAAGCGAGGTATCACCTGGTGGAACAATGAAATGTTGAGGTATCGTTTGTTGATTGTGGAACAATGAAATGTTTGAGGTATGGTTTTGGTGAGTGTGGAACAAATGAAAAATGTTGAGGTAACAAGCCTTGGTGGAGTGTGGAACAATGAAAATGTTGAGGTACGTTTTGATGAGTGGAAATTGCAATGAAATGTTTGAGGTGGTTTTATGAGTGTGGAACAATGAAATGAGGTATCGTTTTAGTAGTGGAACAATGAAATGTTGAGGTAACAATGGTGGAGTGTAAACTGAAAAATGTTGATAATCGTCTTTGCGAGTGGAACAACGAAAATGTTGAGGTATCGTTTTGTCGAGTGTGGAACAATGAAAAAAACCAGGTACGTCTTTGCGAGTGTGGTTCAAACAATGAAAAACGTTTTGATATACGTCTTATGAGTGTGAATCAATGAAAAAAGTTGAGGCACGTTTTGGCGTGGAACAACTGAAAACGGTTGAGGTACTTTCGCGAGTGCGGGAACAATCAACGAAAATGTTGAGGCATCGTTTTGATGATGTGGAACAACGAAAATGTTTGATAACGTCTTTGCGGAGTGGAAACCAATGAAAATGTTGAGGTATCGCCTGGCGGATGTGGTTCAACGAAATGTTGATAATCGCCTTAAGGGAGTGTGGGAAACGAAATTGAAACGTTGATAACGCTTTATGATGAACCCAACGAAAATGTTGAGGTACGTTTTATTTGAGTGTGGAAACAATGAAAATGTCCAGGTAACAATTTATGAGTGTGGAAACAACGAAAATCGTTTGATATAACGTCTTGGCGGAGGTGGAACAATGAAAATGCTGGATAACGTCTTTATGATGCGGAACAACGAAAATGTTGAGGTAATGTTTTGGTGAGTGTTGAACAATGAAAATGCTTGAGGACGTTTGGTTGAGTGCTGTTGAACAATGAAAATGTTGAGGTACGTTTTATTGAGTGTGGAATGAAATGTTGAGGTACGTTTTGGTGAGTGTGTGGAACAAATGAAAATGTTTTGAGGTATCGCCTTGTTGAGTGTGGAACAATGAAAATGTTGAGCGCTGTTTAGTGAAGAGTTTGAGCAAGTTTGAAAGTTTTAATAGTTTTTCTCGATTTTTACAGCGAAGAAAGCATCAAAGAGAGGCTAAACGCGTTTCCAGCATTAATTCAAAATCTTCCCAAAATTTTAGCACGGCGGATGAGTTACTTCATGTTGTTCTTGAACGGACACGAGTAGTCCAAAATTATTCGAAAGTTATTGTTGAGTTTATTTTACGTAATCCAATCATATTAGAAATGAATTGATTACGTAAAGTAAAAAACCTAACGTATTACAGGCTGCAACATCATTTCTATGTAACATTTATATATTCAATATATTACACCCGTTTCACCAATTCTAAAACGCTTAAAGCGTTAGTTCTAATTTTTAGAAATGCGTTACGAAGCGTCAATAAAATGTATTCCGCGCATTCTGATGTATGGGATTCACGAATTTATGAAATACTTTATTTAGTCATCTTTATTTTCCTGTTCTGTGATCTGGCTATGGCGGAAAACGTTCGACGTTCAGCTTCTTATGATATTTTAAATGACGAACAAAAAAAAGATCTTGAAGGATTATTATGATCGAGGAATGATTTCAACAGCAGCTAGTATGAGGGATGTCATCCAAGAAGCTGCGAACCAAGCTAATATCACGTTTGAAAGAGTCAAGGTAAACAGAATGCACGAGTTTATATTTTTTACCCGCGCTTTCTTTTTCATTAGCAACGAGTGATCTTCGCCAGTATTTTTTGATCTGATGGGTTTAGTTATTGTTGCTGTAACTGACATTAAATATAGTGTGCATTTTATATCTTCTAATTATACCCTTAACTTATATAATAGACAGTTTACAAGATGTCAGAGATATATAAACAGATATACTTAGGATTTTCCCTTTATTGGGGAGAGCATGGTTTATTTTTTGACTGTACCACAATACCAGTGTGTTTATATTTAGTATTGCTTGACAATTGAAAATTGCAACGTTTGCTGACGATGTTTGTAAAATTTATTCTACTGTTAAAATTTTAACTTGGCCTATTAAGCGTATAATTATTATATTTTTATACTCACACTTGTTTTTACTATGTACTATAAAAAACAAGCTTGTTTTTATTTGTATTCAACCCTCTCGAGCTTTTATCTTTCTCTGTTGTCAGATGTAATATGTATGTACCACTGGTTACTATATCTTTTTGCATTAAATCGAACTGTAGTTTTCTTCAATAATGCAATTTCTCCTTTATAAAAGTAATAAGATTATAGTATTTACATACATATACTCATTTCATAATATTCATATCATAGTATAGAGGTGCCACAGGTAGTACATCTTAAAAAGGGGTGGGAAAACTTGGTAATTTTTCTATTTTTGAGTATGCCTTCAAGACTGTTGATCACAAATTTTTCGTAGTATTCTGAGTTTGTTGAAACTTAAGGGCAGGCATTCTGTAACATTATCACAAATCTTATAATCAGAAAACCTATGGTTTTCCCTCGATTTTCCCTCGACAATGGTTTTCCAAAAATTAAATTATTAAATGCATTTTCTCTATAACACATTTTAATGCCCACTGGTGTTTCCCTTTTCCATGAAAGACTTGCCTGGGATTCATGCTATAACAAACAGGGACCTTATCATTTTGCAAATAATAATCCTGAAATGTAGGTAAATTTGAGAATATTACCATTAATTAATTGTTTTTTAGAAATCCATAGTTTTCACAGCAAGTGAAATTTTACATTGCATGAATAAATAACTGAGCAGACTATGCTGTATTCATTGCATGTTTTGAAAGTTTGCAAATGACAGAATCGTTGCAGTTTATGGAGACTCAATAATGTTGAATCTACCTTAAATTGTAAATGCTAGAGATGTTTTTCTAATTTCTACTCTCTGCTAGTCACCCCATTATAATGTATATAATTGCTTTGAAGGTTTAATTGCATTGGGTGCATACCATTGAAGGTGATCAAGGCAAAACCTAAATTAATATACCTTAACAAATTTTCTTATTAATTAGGTTAATAGTCCCTAAAAATTTTATCTTGTTCAGGAATAAGTCACATTTTTACTTTTTGGCTCTCCTAATTTACGAATAATTTGAGAAAGAAGTTTCATATAGATGGTGGTTCAGTAGTTACATACTTAATGAATTCTGTTACTGGTGAAATAAGCTCATGCTTATTGCAGAATTTTCTAATGAAATTGTTTGATTGTTTGGTTTGCAAAGAAGCATTTATATTTTTTAACATAATAATTTTTTGTTGTTTAGACTAAGTTAGCATATCCTATTCTTCAAATAACTTGAAGGCTTCATGTTAGTACTCTATTTGTTCATACACCATGTAGTAAATAACCTTGGTTAACCAGGTTAGCTACAAGAAAAAGAAAAAGTTTTATTTTTATTTCTTCTAGAAATGGATTGGGAATGAAAAGCAGTCCAGAAAAAGAAAAGCCAGCTCTCATCAAGATGAGGAGTTAAGACTGTGCCCTTCAAAGCGTAGAACTACAGCATATAATCTTTTTTGCTCGCATATGCTGAACTCAGGTTCTGATCTATAAACTGTATGTTTTTTATGGCCTGTACAATATGTATCATCTTTATTCCACCAAAAGTGCTAAGACAAAACCTGTGCAGTCGTCATTTAAACCCAAAAGAGTACTTTGTTTCTTTCTGTTGTTATATGCCTTTTGTAAATATGCATTTTGTAATTTTAGAGGAATGCAAGCAGCTGAGCTCTAATTCTGAGAGGTTGAAGTTAGCTGTAGACCACTGGAACTTGTTAGGGGCAGAGGAACGTGTGATTTGGGCAGAAAGAGCAAAGGCTGTTCAAAGCAATGACATTCATGACCTGACAGTTAAGCAGCGCACAAACCAAGTGAAAAAAGGGAAAAAGCAGCTTTTGTCACAGGTACAGCTGTTATTACCCACTGTACATATGTACAGTATTATGATATAAGAGAATGATTTTTACTTTGATTGTTTGTGTAGATTTAGTTGAGCATCTCTATAAACATAACGTGATGGTTTGTAAATTTCAATCCATTCTAAAGGAAAGACAATTTACCTAAAGAAAACTTCTACTACAAAAAAATTTGTAAAAGTTGTTATGAATTGTTAGAAGTAGCAAATAAATGCTGAAATTTAGCCAAGTCTACTGGGTTACAGATCCACAAAGTTAGCATTTTGTAACGTTTGCAATTTTACTGTGGAAAATATTAGCATTGATAGACCAGTGTCATGGATGTGAAGGGGGAGTATTTTGTAAGAAATTTTGCAATCCCCATAGCTTTAGATAGATTAGGGTGTGAGGGCTCTAATTTCCCCACAAAATAATAGTATACGTATCATAAAATAAGGCCAAAGCAATTATGATAAGTGTTTAATCTAACACATTGTAGATGTGTTGATTTTATACTTTTGTTTACTTAGAGAAAAAATTGCTGAAAACTTATGCTGTGTAAATTCAATTAAATTTCTCTTTGCTAGCTTACTTACTTAGAAAGTCTTGGTTGTGAAGCAGTTGTTTTATTCTTGGAGCCTGGTGATTCTTGTCTTCAACAGTTTGGAACAGAAAAAGGAATCAACTTTTTGAATAAAAATGAAAAAATTGGTGTCAATTTCGTTGAGTATTTGGGTAAGTGCTGTACCTACACAGTTATTTTCAGAAACTTGTGGGTCTTGGAATACTTGGCATTATTTCTCAAGCATTAGTGCTGTTCCAAGAATGTTTATTCAGTTGTGCCCTTCGGATTTCTTTTGAAAGTAAATTGCTTTCAAAAGTAATCACTTGGGCTCAGTTGGATATATGAATAATCCTCTCCTCCCTTTCCATTTATTTTACACGAGCTTTATTTCTTTATCAATGTTTTTTTTTGTTAAATAGATTCTCCAAAACAGGTTGTCAGAAAGTACCGGGTGTGTGATGTGATAAAACTATTCAACCAGAAATACAGTAAGTGCAAATTGCATTTGAAATGATTTTCCATTTTCTGAGCTTGTGTCATGGTTGATATTTTTTAGTCCATTTTATACACAATTCCTTTTTTGACAATCAAGTTATTTTAAGTCAGCATGAATGTTTTGCACCATTGTGAAACATTTCCAAACTTATCAAATCAAATCATGGGAAAGAATGCTGTTTCGTAAAAAATGAACAATGTGCATTACAGTTTACATATTTAGGAAATATCATTTATTGTGTCTGTCCTCATAGTTTTGTACGTGTTAAAATCTCTCCCCATAAATATGCGGGACTTTTGTTATTGTCATTGATTGTTGCTAGCTACATTTATGTATTACCCATCATTGTAATTTTCTTGAAGGTGAAGCTTGTGGGAAAATGTGCCGAGTACCTTATTTAAAAGGAGGATTTACTGTTACTGGTTTGCCAGAAGGTATTACATTTAAAACCCAGTCAGTATGGTATTAAACAGATTTCCAACATTATGAAAAATGCGCAGAATATTCATTTCAAAATAATCGAATCACCGCAAGTAGAAAAGTTTTGACAGAGAATCGTAAATATTCTGATCAGAGAGAGAATGTTACCGATCTGTGTTGAAGAAAGTTGTTTTTGAAGAAGCCAAAGTATCAATGTGCTTGATACGTAACTAGCTGATTGAAGAATGCGATTTGGTGGTAACTGATGTAGATTTGACAAAGTCAGAGCTCGATTTGTTGACTGGGAAACTTAAAAATTTTTTCAAACCTGATGCCTTTGCGACTCTTATTGCCAACTGTAAAAGCAGTCGAACACACGAAGGATACATTCTTCCGGTTTATACTGACTCTGATGAACCGTATTGGCTCTTCTATTATCCTGGTGCAGCTGAAGGCATTGAATCATTGTCTACTGAAGATAAGATTTGGGGATATTGGTTAGACAAGATGAGCTCAGAGCTAACTTATAAACTCATTAAAACCCAAAAAACAAACATTATTGGATTAAACCTAATCTGTTACCAGGACAAAGAATTAGGAACTTTAAGGTTAAAAACCAAAATTTTTACATCCCAAATAAGCATACCTTTCGGTTTTCACACGTCTGTTCTGGAATGCCTTGCTAAACAGGATTTCCTGTAGTGTGTTAAACTTTTTTTTGTATAGCATGTTCATGTTGTTACCAATAATTGTATGCACCTAAAGTATTCGTATTCTTATATTATGCACAAATGTAGTTTGAATGTTAAGAAATAACTATCGGGGGAAACGCGTAAAAAAATTTCCAAATGTTCTTGTTTACGTTTTGTTGTTTTTCTCACGCTATTTCAACACCACGTCTATTGTCTCCACTATATATTGCCTTTGCTCATTGCATTTATGCCAACTTGTGATTTTGCATGACATTCAGATACCAGACCAAAATACTTAAGAAATTTCCTGGAATACTCAAAGTTTTGAGGCTCACAAAAGTCTCAAAATCTCTAATTTTGAATCAATGAATTAAGCCCATTTTCGTTCTTTGCCAATTTTATTTGTGGATTGTTTAATAAAGCTTCGTAGCTACCCCAATGATAAGTAAAGTCATGTGGCATTTGTCAGAAAATGGGTAAAGCACATTGCAGGTTAAAGGAATAACTAAAAAATATAGACATTGTCAATTGTTAACCCATTACCCCTTATACTAGAGTATACCATTTAAAAAAAAGTTTTAGAGATTTGGTAACAGTTTTACAAAGTTATTCTAATGGAAAAGCAATCGTTTTAAATAAAATATGCAGTTTTAATCGCTTTAGTAATCTATGTTTTTTTTCAAAATCTGTTTACCCTCCATACAACGATGGAATGTGCTGTAATGATGAGTTGCAAATGAATTTGCAAACATGTGAAAGATTGGTAAATGTGTTGAATAAGATTGCAAATAAAGATTAAAAGGAAATTTTATATGAAGTTTTGTTTTCATCTAATGAGAAACGTGTTATCTTTGAACGTGATTTAGATAATAAATTAAGTTTGAAAACACAAAAATCATACCATGTTGTGGATTAAAATGTAACTGTTTATGTTAATGATGATGATGAGATGATTGTTTCAAACCCACTGATCTAAATGATATTACAATGATTGATTGGACGGATGAATTTTACAAAATATATATCAGAAAAGATAACGATTTAAAAACTATATCACAAAAATTTCGACAATTTGTTGGATTTTGTCGTGATTTATTAAAAAGTGAAGAAGAAAAGAAAAAATCAAAGGAAAGGAAGCTAAAGAAGAAAAAGTAAAAAAGAAATGCCAAAAACTGTACCAAGTAAAAAAAGACAAAAAGATATTGAAAATAGTAATGACATTTAAGCTATTAATGTATTGAAAGAGTTTTCTAATAAATTGGATATTCCAATACATGATTGCAATGGTTATAGTGAATTTATGAATGAAATTTTAGAGGAAAAATTGGAAAGAAATATGATTTTGTAGAATTTTATAAAAAATATGGCAATGATAAAATTGAAAGAACATATAATGATATATTTTTTTCAAAGCTTGATTTTCATCATCCTCCAACGTTTGTGAATGATGGTGATGAGGAGAACGAAGAAGAAAACTAATAATTTAATTAACAATGACTTTATAAAAAGAGCTGCAAGATTATTAAAAGGTGAACATTTAAAAGATAATAAACAAAATATACATAATTTGTATCAAAAAAATATAAATTTTTAAATATAAATGTATGAACAAAATTTATTTATGGAATATTGATTTAGCTGAAATGAAAGATTTGGCAAGATATAATGATAATTTGTGTTATTTGTTATGTGTAGTTGATGTTTATTCAAGATATGGTTTTGTTCAGTTATTGCAAAATAAATCTAGTAAAAATGTTATGGAAAAATTTGAAGATATTGTATTGAAAGAAAATGAATTTCCTAAAGAAATAGTATCACACGAGGGAACTGAATTTCAAGGGTTTCGAAAAGAATTGTCAAAAAAATATAATTTTCCAAATTATAATATTTATAATCGTGAAATTAAAGCTACTCATGCTGACAGATTTATACAAACAATTAAACAGATGACTGGAAAAACTATTGACTTTTTGCAAACAAGAAAAGGAAAAAAAATTTACTTATGAAAATACTTACATTTAATTGTGGAAAGATATAACGAAAATCCTTATGTGGATTACTTTCTGACAATCCTTCACCATATGATGTTTATTTAGGCGGAAAAAAATTACATCAAAAGATTATCTCATATTATGAACAAAAAAAGAGATAAAAATTTAAGTATATTAAAGAAAAATGATAAAGTGCAAATTTCAAGAATTAAAAATAATATTTTTGAAAAGGAAAGTTTAAGACAGTGGGTTAATGAGACTTTTTATATAAATAAAGTTTTTTTGACGGATCTTGTTACTTATAAGCTTTGTGATAACAACGGTGAAGAAGTTCAAGGGAAATTTTATTGTGAACAATTAAAAAAGGTTACAAAATGAAAAATATTACATTAATTTGTAAAGTTAATAATAAAAATTGTTGAAAAAAACTATATTAATCATTTTGCTACAACATTACCTGGTCAAATTGATGCATTAAATAATAAAAAATACATAACAGTGTTAAACGTTTTTTATCCAAAAACAGCAAAAACATTAATGTAGATGAATTCTGGTGTGATTTAGAATTAAAATTTTCGAAATCTTTTATTCAAACGGATGTTACAACTAAAAATATTGATATAAGTTTATATCCAATTTTAAAGGTTAATTCACCAAGAATTAAAATACCATTGGGAATATATAACAATAAAAAATTATATCGCTTTTGAATGATTATTTAAACGATTGTAATATTTTTTAAGAATAGAAATTGTAAAAAAAATATAATTTTAACAAATGGATATATTTGTTACTATGTTCAAGGGAAAGAATCTTATCCTAATCAGGGTAAAAATATGATTTTAAAAATTATATATGGATAAAACCTATAATAAGCAAAATAAAATATACTGATTATGCTTCAGGAAATGATACAATTGAATTTAAATTAAATTTTTCAAAAAAATTAAGTTTTATGTTGGGGTTAGACAAAGAAGTAATAAAATATACATTTGACTCTGGATTTGATTGTAAGAAACGCGAATTTGAAAAAAATAAAATTATTCCATTGTCCATATCTTCCTGATGAGACAGTTAGAATCAATAAAATGTTTATATATCGTGACAAAATTGATAGAGAAATTGTTGGTAATTCAAAAAGGGAATTGTTATGTATTGTTCCTTTACATTATGCAAATGAAAGTGGAGACAATTTATTTGTGTACAATCATCCAATTATAAAAAAACAATTAATTTCTTCAATTATTAAAAATTTAACTATAAAAGTATTGCATCATCAAGGCAATTATACCATTTGATTCTATAAATATAACGTTGGAATGTCAAATTGATTTAAAAAATGGAAATTAAAATACGACCTATTAAATTACTGCAACATACTGATACTTTATCTCGAAATTTTTTATTCCACAGATGGATATATTATATCCATTTAATTTAACAAGAATTAATAAAAATAATATTTTATATCGAATAAGGAGTTTAAAACCAAAAAACCTCAAAAAAGGAGTAGTATTAAATTAAATATTTTTTCAGCACTTCCATATAATTTACTCATTTTACAAGTGGAAATGTACAAAAATCCCAGAACTTGGTGAAGTAACTAATGTGCAAAATTGTTTACCAAACAGTATAAGAAATTCGATAGCAAACCAAATAATATTTCATCTTTTTATTATTACATAAAAACCTTTTTTTAATTTAAATGGTGGATTATCTAAACTAGATGCTAGTGCTAATTTTAATTTACAATCAATACATATAATGAAATATAAAAAAGGTCCTTTGATTCTATTTTCAAAATATATAATATTTGAATTGGAGTATGATGATTCAGATAATAACTAATTACTAACAAAGAACTAGATATACTTCTGGACTTAAAATTTGAAGAAACTAATGAATTTCAATAAAAAAATATATATTATTTATAAAAATAATTTGTGTAAATACTATGGAGATGTATTAGAGGGTAATAGAATGAAATATTGTAATCCATATTATAATTATATAAAATATAAATTTAATTCTATCACTGAAAAAAAGGAATTTTTTAACTGATGCTGCACTTAATTCTTTATTATAAAAACAATTATCAAAATATGTTGCAAAAGAGAAATATAAACTTCCTATATATATACATATACATAAAGTGTATAACAATGTGACCTCCAGCTATCACCCTAGTAAAATGGTGAATGCTGCACTTGGGACACAGGATGTATGGTTACACATTGTATGGATTGTTTTGTACAGTCCCCAGAGCGCTCAAACCTATAAAGTTGAGCTTTGCATATAGCGAAAGCGTTCACTATTAACTTATAATTATATATATATACACGTGTGTATATGGAATTATTCTAACTCGGTGTCTGATTCAAAATCTGAAAATTGAAGCAGTGATTCGCAGTCAGTCTCGTTATCAACTGAACTGGTTTCAATCTCTAATGTATCCTCAATTATGTTTGTTGGACGCAAAATAGATAATGCATGCTCTGCTTCTATCTTGAAGAATGGTAATTTACTCTTACTAGCTTCTGTTAAATAGTCATTTAACATATGTTTCAGTGAATACAGTGCATTATTTATGTTAATTAGATCTTTCTTAAAATTTGCTACAGTTCCTCTCAAGATTTTGCTCTGAACTTCCCCATTAACATTGATATAGGACTCCAGTTCTTGTTTCTTATCCAAGTAATAGTGTACTAGTCTTTCTGTTTCCATTTCTAACATCTCTTGTTCCTCTTTGCATCTTTCAAGAAAGTTATGCAACTCAATAGCAGAACGTTTAGCAGTGAACGGTACTGTATCTTTATTTGTTTGAAAGTTAAAATCACAATAAAGTTGCGACCTTGGATCTTTTGCTTCGTCGAATTCAATTTTTCTAGGTAGTCCTTCAATCCAATCTTCCAAAGACTTTAGTGATGCATTATACTTGGCTATTGTAGTTTTAATGGAATTTGTTCTCTGCGTTATTTGTTTGGAAAGTTTAACGGCTATCGCTTGGCCATCTGAAACGCAAGATAACGCTCGGTTCAATAAATACAAGTTAAAGTCATATAGCATTCATAATTTTACTAAAGCAGTATACCACCAATACAGTTTCTGTAAAAACTACTATTCAATGGGTTTTTTTCATAATTCCAATTCGAAGTATTAAAAGTATTAAATGACACTCACTTAAAAGGACTGGGCAAGTACGCACTAAAGTGAAAGACGTTTGAAATGCTTAGCAGTATATTTAAATGTTACATTAGGAAGAATACCTGCATATTTATTCTTTAAGGATACAAGGAACATCCTTTCAATTGCTAAAGAAAATGCTGACTCAATAACAGACTCATTCCGTTTCAGCTCCAGCGACAAAGCTGCCGTATTAAATTCTCTCTCCCAGGTTTCCACCTCTTCGCCACTTTCTTTCTTCTCTCAATGTTTTCAACCTGTATCGTTACTCTAAAAAAATACATCAAAACAAATTTAAACGATAATATTACAACGAAACGACTATTGGTTTAAGGAGATTGAAATTCTTCTCAACACTTATTCACGAGGTTTTATCAGCGACAAAAAAAATGCACAATTCATATAGTCAAAAGGCTTGCCTTTCTTAGTCTTTTTACAATATCCGCAAAGTGACCATGATCAACTTCCTGAATACAAGCAATCTGCATTCTATAACGAAAAAATGTCATCTGATAGTAATGATTAATTACTTCAGTATTACATAAACAAAGCCATACACTACAAAATAAACAGTGACGACATTACGCATTTATCTCAGCAACCTATTGAGCAAAACTACAGAATCGCATTTGTAAAAATATTTATTCATGCACTTGATAAACTTTATATATCAAAATTGTATACCTACAGTACCTTAGCTGGTAAAGTTGCAATAAACTTTCCACATATTTTTGTTGCCATGTTAACGGAAGTGCCCGTTTTGCTACAAGAAATAATCCAGTCATCTAATAAAAATTATGAGCCAACAAGTTGATGGAAAGGCACATTACATACAATTCTTCTCATTAATTAGTTTTTCTTCTTCCTTCATCCATGTCTCTAATAAATCAGAGTCATACAGAACATCTAGCTTCGAAAATAAGTCTTGTATTTGTGATTGCGTGTTAGTAATAAGTTCAGGACATCTTTTAAGTTTAGCAGCTAATGAAGATCCTAAAAAAAATCAACAACTTCCAGCACTAAATAAATAATATACAAAAAACAGAAGGGGGGGGGGAGGGGTTACTAGTTTACAAAACGTTGACTGATCAAACAGTTGTGTGTACATTACTAAAGTGATTATATCAGGGTCTGGGACAGGATTTCTTTAAATAGTTAAATCAATTTTAAGAGCCCTTGCAAAAGATCAAAACACACGTGCATTGAAGATATAGCATTTTCTATACCGGTTTCAAGTAAACAAAAAACGTTTACACAGTACAAGTTTTGGGACGCTATTTCCTTCTAAAAGTCTATAATATTGTATGGTGTTGATACTTTTTGAAGCGATCGTGTTGTCCTATATATGTCAATTCCAGCTTTCAATCACCTACTTGTTGGCCAAAAAACCCCATCAAGATAAAATTTTTGTCTATCAAATACACGTATTGCAAATGTTCTCAAAATCAACTTGACTATTAAAAGAAGTTATTTCCCTGAGCCTAACACGTGTACTTTCAGTAAACACACCAACCAAAGTGTTCAAGTCGACGAGAAGAATAGTGCAGTAAAGCATCTGTCAGAATATCAAGACGGCGACCAGAGCTCATCTCCTTGGTCATGCCGGAAAATCCCGAAGAAATGACCATAGTCTTTCCACTCCTTCCCATCAGTTAATCCATATCCTTTTTTTCTTCTTGGGTTAAATTGTATCTACACGACAACAAATAATTTGCTATTAGCTGCTTATAACTATTTCTATTGAGACCGAACATTATTTTTCGTACCCAATAAATATTGTTCACGTGGATGCAATGATAGCAAAACATTTTGAGTACGTACAGAACAGTCTCTTTTAAATCTATCATAAGATGTATTGTTATCATCAGAGAAATAAAATTAATAAAATGTACAAACCTGACACGAGGACTTATGACCATAGCAGTGGAAGACAGGAATAGCATAATCGGCTCTCTTCACAAAATCATGCTTTCCATTTTTCTGAAAAGAACAGAAGATGTCAATACAATTTTACTTGGTTTTATTACGGTTTAATGAACTCTACTGCACAAAGTCATTATAAGCAAACAAAATAAACTATTAATGCTTTAAAAAACCAACCATTAGGTGTGCCTTCAAAGTACATGCAATGTCATACATGATTTTTATTGTTGTGTTTTCGTTGGAGTTAGAGAGCTGGTGTTTGACACTAAAAACTGAATAACCAATCCTAAAAAAAGAAGCAAATACTGCAGCTAGGACATTACATGATTTTGGTAAAACCTCTTAATATTGCAGACACAGCAACATTCAACAGAAGTTTCACGAAGGTCATTAGCGTGTTCAATTGAAATTTGAAATATAGTTTCAAAAGGCGAAGTGCAATGGGCTAGTAGCCCAGGGCTAACTGCTACAATCGAATTAACATAACATGTTTGTATCATTTTGGGGAATGACTAAAGCTATACAACAGAAAGAGCCTGCCACTTGGAAAGATTTTAAATGGTACACAAAAGATCACTTCATTGCATGATGAAAGTATGTCATGACTGTTACCAGACTTTCTACTTTTTATTAACTCTAATGGGGTTAGACAATCTTGCCTGCTATAAATCATTGCAATATTTGAAACAAAGATGGGGTGGGGCTAGTATGTTCACATGAAAGCAGGTTTATAATAAATGATGCTTAGATAGCCAGACTATAAGCTGTAGGTCATTGTGGTATGGTCATGGTAAGTGGATAATGATTGCCTTAAACATTAAAGAAAATATGTTAATGACTTCAAAAAATACCTTTCTCCATGTTTGATATTCATAAATCCTTTAGGGTAATCATGCCGGCAGACACAACCAAAACACCTTTCTCATCGAATAATTTGTTTCTACCTTTGATCGAATCATGTCATTTACTTCACCTGCCTTAAACTCATGACAATCCTTAACAATAAAAGGCTTCGTAATATTCAAAAGTACATAAAATAGCAAACTTGAGGGAAGACAATTTCTGAAATTCAACCACATTTCCCAATACTTACAGTTTTAGCTTGTTCAGCACTTGAAGTGTAGTTATCAACAAATGAATCAACTTCTTCTTGATTGTGGAACAAAATGGAATTATGCCTTGACAAGAACTGAGCCTTCCCTGAAGTCTTTTTTCTCACAAGACCAAAACAAGCATCCATTGATTCAATCAGAGTACCAGCTTCATCAGGCTATCAATGGATGAAATGAATAACAATGATGCTTTTAGAATGAAGACATTAACAACTTCCCTACAACTGTTTTTAAATATTGTGTTTAATGGCTAAATGTGTACAACTCCGCAGAACAAATGTCTATTAAATTTTTAGAATAAGAAAGCTAGCTATGAACGAATTGCAAGAGATGCACAATTATAAATTTCGTACTTTGGGACAAAGAGGGCACAAATATCTCCCTGGGACATGTTGCTTTACAAGCGGGTAACCATTTCTCAACAAATGCCGATGATACCTGCGAAATAAAGAAACCACTAAAAATTCAATCATACACTATTACCAGAGCAATCATGAGACTTCAAGATCACATCCCTCAGTCTTTCTACAGTACTTTTCGCATCTAAGTTTACACAATAATTATAGTTTATGAAACTAATTTATATTACAAACCGAAACTCATCAAATGAGTTGCTGTTCAGTGTTGAATACATGTTCTTAATCTATAATGAAATAAAACAATTACAACAATATACACATGCACAACAAGAGCAGGAGCAGGGTGAAATATTTAATCTTTTGTAATGTGCCTTTCTATGAAAGATTAAGGTTACAGTTCAAGAAAACCAAGTTTTTCTATGTTTTAGGCAGGTAACTAGTAATTGTTACAAACTTTTAACAAGCTGTTGCACTGCTCTGGGGTATCTATATCATGGGCAGCTGTGCAAACAGGATTTTTGGGGAGGAGATGGGAAACACTCCTAAAATGTCCCTTAAACTTACAATGCACTGTTTGATATCACACACCTTTTCAAGTTCTATAAATAAAGACCAATGTGGGAGAAATATTGGGAGGGGGGCAGTACCCCCTTGTTGGCAACACAGAATGAAGGTACACATGTATTTCTTTTTACACAGTTGAAATGAATACTTACCCACAATGGTAAAGAGGAGCACTTTGTCCATATTTTTAGAGCATCGCAGAATTTTCGAAGTGAAACATGACATTCAAGAAGTAAGGTTTCAGCCAACTCCATCATCTTAAAATGAAAAGCTAAAGAGGGACGAGTAGCACTGCCAGGCCAAAGTTTCAATCTTATTAACGTTATTGAATCTTTTTCACACTCACAAAACAGAATTTGTTTCTGATGTTGCCGGCCTATTTGAAAAAATACACTGCAAGTTCTGGTTATCATCATCATCAGCATCATAATGAAACATACAAAGATCACAAAGAAAGAGGGTAGGTGGTAATTAAACATGAACTTTGCAATAAAATTTAGAATTTACCATGAAGCTAGTATTTAAAGAAGAAATATTGATTTAAAAAAATGAGCATGCAAAGACCTTATGTATCAACAAAATGCTAAGGTTGATAAATTATCAATCATTAAGTGACTATATCTAAGCTAGTAAACAAACCATATTGGTCAATGCAAATGACATTTCTTGCTTGAGCACTATGGCAAGATTTCTGATGCCTTGCTGCAAGAATACCATGATTGGGAAAGTAAGGTAATGTATACCCATCCTAAAAACATAATGCAAGCTATGTTTCAATAGCAGTTCATACAAATGTATGATACAATGACCATGATGACATGAATTGAAATCAACGTTTGATCACCAAACTTATACACCACAAAACGTCATCATAACTGAATTTATCTTTATTCTTTCCATCCATACATTAAACCGTTCAAGCACATGGAAGTAGTTGCTTGTTTCGTGAGTGCTGTCAGCACAACCTTTGCAAAAATATTTTTCGTGTGCGCATTCGTTACAACAAAATTCCACCCTAATCACACCACATTCAGAGCATTTTTCTTCGTTAAGAAAAACTTCTTCTTCAATTCTTCCGTTTTACAAAACTCTCGTATTGTTTACCAGCCTTGAAATTCTTTTTCCCGTGTGTTCTGATAGTTTGTTGCATAAGTATGCTCTTCATCACAGTAACCTTCACCTTCATTAGACTCGTACAAACTATGTCGTTCTATCGCTCTAGAAGGGACATTTGTTGACTTTAATTCTTTTGAAATATGATTTGAAGCTTTCACAGCAATATTCTTCGTGATTTTCTTGCCACTCGTAGAGATAGATCGAACGCGAAGTTTGCAAGATTTGAATCGCTTTGAGGGGCGAGTAGCCATTTTGAACCAAATGTACGGAGCTGCACGGAGCTACACATTATCTAAAGAAACTGGAACCTAGTGTAACATATCTTGTAGAATGCGCGGAATACATTTTATTGACGCTTCGTAACGCATTTCTAAAAATTAGAACTAACGCTTTAAGCGTTTTAGAATTGGTGAAACGGGTGATGTGAAATGCAAGAACAGCACAGAATAATTGTACAGCGAAAAGTTTTAAATTAAATGATCATTCTACCCCTGACTCATTCCATCAAGGCTTTAGGAAAATATTGCAGCATATGTACAAACAAGAAACTTGAAATTATTCATCGTGATAAAAGCAATCTTTGGAATAAACGCAGTAAACTGTACATGAAGTATATCCACTCGCGCAACGTTTTAAATTACCGCACGCGTCAGCAATTAAATAGCAAAGCAAGAGACAACCGTTTTTGTATTATTAGATGCCTGGAGATTGCTTTGGCAAAATTTTGAGAATTTTAATTTCTTTTATTATATATACGCTCTATGGTATTGAGCACTTTTATTCACTTCAAAAAATTTTATATGTATTGCACGCCATATTAAGTTCCATCAAAATCTATTGTCTTAAACGGATTTATGTTATATATTTATGAGCGTTTGCCCCCCTATCCCCATTCCTACCCCCATTTAACGTTTTGCGGCGCTGTACTGGTAATATATGGTATAATTAAAAACATAAAACTGCATGTTATTTTGTACATTTTTATCTGAAAGCGACGATTGCAAGCACACTGTTTCATTCAAAGGATATAACGTCATAATCATACTCTGAATGATTTTAAACTAATGTTCTCACAAATATGGAAATATACTCTGTAGCGTGTAGGGCTGGAGAGAGAAGCTATGCCTTGGAACGTAAAGCACTCGTAGCTTATGTGAAAATAGTCCCAGAGAACGCACAGAAATCTTATTTTCGAGTATACTATCTAGCGATTATCGAAAGAAAGTTGAAATTGTGCACTCGTAAGATGAAATTATGCACTCTGAAGGGTGAAGAACAACACAATAAAGACTGATTTAAGTGATTTTGAACTTAATCATACACAATTGCGCATAAACAACTTAATTAAATGATAAGGGAATCAACATACTATATCTGAAAATTTGTTACCATAAGTTTATCAACGACAAGTTGCACAGACATCCACTTCTCTGAGCGGCGATCAATTAAACCAGCGAAACCCTTTTCTCTCTCATCAGGACTGCAAACAAAGAGTGAAACGATTAACTTAAGACAGAGTGAAACCATTTGTATATGAAATAATGAGGACATGCATGTTTGTAATGAAAATTTGCATAGCAATGAGGTGGTATAAGCGTTTCTTAATTCTTTAATTTATCTTAAGAAATTTCAGTAAAACTTAGGTAAATATTCGTTTTCTTTTTGAATAAAAAGCTAGCAAAACTACGTTTATCAAGCCGTGAATAAAATTTCACAAGAACAATAAAATTCTTAAATGTCCCTCTCCCAAAAATTATTTCACTTAAAGAATACAGCCTTCATGTATATTGCTCCTATTTGTTTGAAAATGAGCATTTATTGGGGGAAAAGAATCGAAGACAACTTGAGTCACAGAGTCATTTAGTAAGAAAATAATTTTTTTGTTAGAGGGGAAGTTTTATAATTATCTAGAATGTTTTGGTGAAAAACAGTTTTATGAGTGCCAAGACTTTGTGAACACGTGACTTACAAAGCAAATGAAGACATCGAATTAGTTCTTTTTCGCTTTACCATCCCAAACACAGCAATTTATGACGCTTGAAGACGTTACAGAGGCATTAATTAGCTAAAATCAACACTAATTTTCAAATTTCAAAATTTCGCTGTTATAGTTGATAGCAAATTATATGTCAGAGTTAAGCCCAAATTTGGTAAGTTGTTGCTAAATGTGTTGCTTTGCATCATTTCATAGTATTGAATACGACAATAATTTCCACAAATTATTTGAATTATTTGGATTATTTGGATTGCCGTATGTGGATGAATTATTTGAGAGTGTAATGCTGTCAATGAAAGACAAAGACGCATTATCAAATTCACAAAATCTTTTGAAAGAAATGTCCCCACCACCAATGAATGTCATGCTGCAAAAGCAACCCAGATCTGAGGTGCTACTAAAACAGGTCCGTCGAAAATGCATTGTGGTCAATGATGTCCCCCGCTCAATTCCAGGTAATTAATAATGATTATATAACATGTTGTAGCTAAACATGGTTTGAAAATCATTTTAAATAATAAAAATGTTTTTGTTTCATGCCAGCAGCTACCAGTGTGCCATTCTGCGACTCTTTTTGCAATAATCCACAGTCTATTAGTGTAATATTTGTCAAATTGCGTCGTTATTAGCAAAATTATCATATTTTTAAACGTTACTTACCAACAATGACAAGTGCATTTCTAGTGCCAGGCATTACGCAGTTTAGTCGGGCTCTGAAAATTCAGCCCGACCAAGAAGTAAAATCTATAGTGGAATTATCTGCGATCTGATTGGTTGACAACAACAGAGCAAACTCAAATGCGCTGTTTCGCAACATCTAGTCGGGCTCTGAAAATTCAGCCCGACCAAGTAGTAAAATCCATAGTGGGAATATCTGTAATCTGATTGGTTGAGAGTAGCTGTGAACACACTCAAACGTTTAACAACATCTAGTCGGGCTCATTTTCAAAAGCGTGACTTGAATTTTGAGCTTTCGAAATATACTTTCGGAAATCGTGATAACTTACATTACAATGGCTTCGGCTAACGAAATCGATATAATAAGTGAACTGCAAAAGAAACCATTTTCTGTTCGACAATCAGGCGAGCAAAATATACTCGTAAAGCAGCGGCCAATTCCAAATTTACAAGCGACTACAGGCAATAGAAGCTTTCAGGAAAGTTGGTACTCGAAGAAAGATTGGCTTTGTTGTAGCTCAGAAAAGAATGCATTGTTCTGTTGGCCTTGTCTTTTATTTTGCCCTGGATCGTCATCTTCATGGACGCAGACGGGATTCAAAAACATGAAGAATTTCCTATCCAATTGTTAGACCTACGGTTTTCAGCCTAGTGTTGACTGTCTCATGTCACAAGCTAGACGTGAAGAGATTCAGCGTCATACATTAGTGTCACAAGTTCTAATTGAACAAGCAGAATCTATAAAAAAGGTTGACGTGCGGACAAAGTTATCTACAATGAGATGCACGAGGAATGAAGCCGAATCTAATGATTCTAAATACTTTAAAGTTCTCTGGAATACATGGCACTGAATTTCTGAAAACGGGAGTTTTTTCCAGTGAAAGAACCGTTGTTAAAAGTTCTTAAAAACAGGCCTGCGAACAAAAAATAATAATCGGAAAAATTTAATCACTGTGAGTGAAAATATGGACTCTATTGTAGAAGCTACCAAAATTTCAAAGAATTCAGGGCTGGCCAAAGTTTGTAATATGTGCATTATCATAAGAATCGTCAACTGAATAATCGCCTAATTTATGCTGCCTTGCAACTCCTTCAATTCTCAAATTATCTATATTACTATACCAGTTTCATGTATGGCCGTCTTTGAACTAATCAAACTAGAAACCGACTGTTCGTTCGTCTAATTTATGCTGCCTTGCAACTCCTTCAATTCTCAAATTATCTATATTACTATACCAGTTTCATGTATGGCCGTCTTTGAACTAATCAAACTAGAAACCGACTGTTCGTTCGTATTGTATGCCATTTGGGTATAGTCACATTCAAAAATGTAATAAAGACGTTAAAGTCCCGCATGATATATGATTAGTCGGGAAATCAAGAAATTAACGCCGTCTAGCTGTAATGCAATTATACAACGATAAAGTTTGTCAGTCAACGACTCAACGCATAGGACTTCTTCGCTCAGATACTGACCGTAGAGCATTTTTATTAATTCCAGCAAATTGCAACAAATGTAAAAAATAAGCGACATTCATGCTATGTTTACTCGAATCACTGCACTTAATGCTTAATATTAACGAGATAGTGCTTCTCAACACCTCACTTTTAATATATTTCAAAACTAATAAAGCAGTCAAAATCTACGTAAAAGCTATAGCAGGAATTCAGAACTACCTTCATTTAGGAATCCGTACCATATCCAACTGTTATCATCACCTTTATCTTCCAAGCTTGCTAAATTCTCTCTTTCATCCATAACCAAAATCTACGTATCTCTGATGAAGCATTTATTTTCAAGCGTTTCTTACAGCAAAGAAATTTATTGTAGAACTCATCATATTGCATTTATTGAGCACCCTAAACTCTGAATAAGGTATTAAAGACCAATGATATGCGATAAGAGTCAATAATCTTTCAGCTAAATCATATGGCGTTCAAAAGCAATGTCAGGCAATTGAAATTTACTTTACTTTGACTTGTTATGAAAATTTTATATTAACTTTTAACACAAATTTGCATATTCAATTGATATCGTTGCCCAGTCAACCACAGTGAAACGATATCAATAAAAAGCCCTAGTAGTAACCTAAAAGACATTTTGCTATGCAGTTGCTAAAGATTCACAGTGCGATGTATTTATTCTTTTAATCTTAAATCCTGATCTTCCATCCAACGATCACAGTGAACTGTAAAGCTCGCCAAGCATTCTTTCTTC